AATGGCGTGAGTTCCGTGTTTGTAATCTTTCCCGAGCTGGGACAGACAGTGGCTATAGAGGATCTGACTATACATCTTGCAGAAAACGATGAAGTTACTATTATACAAGGGAGTCAGTGGAGACGGAAAAGAAGGAAAACCGTCATAAATGAGACTCCACAGAGCTTATTTGTCAGTTATACATCTTGGGTTTTAAAAAACACATACGTATAGCTTTGCATGAGTTTCTTTTGACTTGTTTTGTAGCGCTTTTGACGACACATTTCGCGTACACAAGATTCATATTCTATCATTTCTGAAAACTAAAATATCTTGAAAATACAACTGAAGTACACCGTAAAAATGAGACCCAGAAATGTGCACTTTTCAGTTTCGAGAACGCGAAGTACGCCAGATGCTAGTATTTATGATTGTTTGATATAGCTCTGAAGGAGCTTTTCAAGGCGCAAATTTTAAAAGAAGAATCAGGCGGATATCTCTTTTAAATATCAAACTATATAAGAAACAATAAAAACTATGGAGTTGGTTTTATTGTGCGGGGACATCGTCGTATCAGACAGACATTTAATACTGACCGCGCAAAAAATTTTCCAATTACTGACTAAGGATTCTTCTATACATTTCCTATACAGTGTTTCTTGCTCTATCATTCAAAAAAAGAATCAGAGTATTACCATTTCCTCAAGTCCAGATATCAACAAAAATAAAAAGTGTCGCAACACTTTTGAGACACCCGACATATTGGCAAAATCATTTTAAGAGCGACGTGACACCGTACACTTTCAATATGCGCATCTCTGTATGAGGAGTTGGTCGGAGACTGATTTTTTTACATAATATACAGAGTTACTTGTTCTATATACCTTGAAAAAAATCAGCGTCATAAAACCTTCTTGTGAGGAACCACGACTGGAAAACTGTCGTTAACGACGTGACTCAAAAACAGACATCGCGTCTCATTTTTTTGCAGTCGAGGTTAAAACAGCTGCGAACCAAAGTATTACTTTCGAAAACAATATTATATATTGTGTAGGCCACTTCGAGCGCTATAACACCCGTTTACAATATTTTCCCTAGGTCACATAGATTTTTTTGAAAAATCAACTGTACTCGGCGTTAGTGACGTGACTGAGTACGAGTGGTCGAGCGAAAAAATGTCGGTATGACTAGAACAAAGATCCAAATCGACTCAGATAAACATGGATCATTCTTCGACACTTTTAGTTTATGACGAAGTAAAAATTTCTGATTCGACGCTTAATAGGAGCCAAGGGAAAGATATTTTTGCGAGGGAAATTTCACATCTCCGATTTTGCTGAAAACTTTATCATATACGTAGGTTGGGTCATAGAGTGTTAGCTTCTCCTTACAATCCAAAGACTCCTGCCCACTAGACGTTCATAGGCGGAACGGAAGGTAACGGAAAAAAAGCTGATGATCTATATCGGTTCCGTTAGTGTGTGTGTGGTTGTCCTACTTCGGAATTGGAGAAATGAATGACGTGATTCGAGGTCTTCATGATAACGTTTATTGATGAACGACGAGAGAAGAAAACAAGAAAACGACTTATGTCGATCACAGTTCAAAGAGCGGTTAGACAGGCGGCATAGAGAGAAACCAGAGAGAAAGAGAAAAGAGATCTATATATTATGGCATCGAACCGCACATAGGACATATAGATCTGAACAAGAAGAGAAAGAAAGAAAGAAAAAAGATAGCGATAACAATGTACTATCTGTTATCGCTAACATAGAGTTTATCCTGGAAGTTTTAAAGTGTTTCGTCGTGTCGTTAAGCAGATATTAGCTAATTACTGTTTAATTAATTAGCAAATTAATTAATTAATTAAAGTTAAATGGCATCAGAAAGAGCAAACATTTTTACATATCTTTATGATAAAAGAATTTGGCCAGAAAAGATACTGTCGTCAAAAATTAAAGCGAAACGATAGAGGTGAATGCCTGTTTTGCGCGATTTTGCCCATATAGGGAGTTTGAATAGCTATCGGACCATATAACAGCTAATGATATGGATGTCGATCGTGAAACAGAAAGGAACCTTTCTCGAAGAGAGGTTCGAGTGCTTTTACTACATGAATTCTTGCTGGGTCGTAAAGCAAAGTCAACCCGAGCAAAATTATTCGAGCTAGGCTGGGTTGCGATTGCCCATCCACCTTAGTCTCCGGACTTAGCTCACAGTGATTATCACTTGCGTGAAAAAATATTCGGTGATGAAAGTGAACTCAAAACGAACCTGGAGAACTTTTCCAGCTAGAAGTCTCCGCAGTTCTACGAGCGGGGGATCTTTTCGCTACCGGAGCATTGGTGGCAGGCAGTGGATAACGACGATGCATACATCATCAAAAACTAGGTGGATGTTTGAAAGAAAAAATAAAATAAAGTTTTGAAAAAAAAAGACAATACTTTCTTGCCAACCCAATATTTAAGTGATTAGTTCGATATGTTACTCAGTAGAAAAATCACTTTTGATCAGTATGAATTGATTTATGATAAGCAGAAGATCAAGTGGTAAACAGGGATTAAATTTGCTTATTTGCATAATAATCTAATGATTTAACGATGTATTTGTCTAGTAAAAGCACTGCAAGGAAAATTGAGACCTATGTTTCTGAAACTTATAGCTTTCGAATAGAGTTTATAAGTCTTTCACGGTTTTGAGGGACAGTGAAACTGTTAAATCCGTAGACAGACGCGAAAATTCATATATCTATGTCGAGATACTGGCAATATGATATACTAAGAATCAACGATTTTCGAATAGGTCTATAAGCTCTGTATATCGTTAGCGAAATGTATGACATTCTTGATCTTAAAAACTCAACAAAAAGATCTCAAAATTGTTATGATCTAGATGATAATAAGAAGATGGAGAAGATGTCCTATCTAATATAGTGGTAGTACATCTGCCCGGATACCAGGAGGTGCGTGGTGCGAATCCCGCGATAGGCATTTTTTTCATTCGTAACAAAAATACGCGTAATATTTTTTATTTATCTGATGATATCATAGTTAGGCATGCACCAATCCCGATTTCAGTTCCAGAATCGAAATCGGAATCGACCCAGAATTGGCTGGGCTTGATCCAAGATAGATTGAAATACATTACTAATTTTAACCCAACCAACACTACTTTTCGAACAGTCGTCATTAGTGGCAGATGAATTTCCAGTAACAAGAAGCATCTAGAATTAGTTTGCTATTAGATCTCACAAAGTTGTTAAATATGTCACGTCAGTTTCAAACCAATTCCATTCGATTCTAGAACCGGAATCGAATCAGATCGCGATTGTTACATGAGTAGTCATAGTTCAATCGATATAGTTGCAAAGAGAGACTGGACCCGAACTCAAAGCTAGTAGAGAAATCGCACTCCATCACGCCTCCTGAACTCATCACTGATTGCGGAGAACTTACTGTTAGTAAACTAAAATCCATAGTTATAGTTGTCAGAAACATAGGTCTCAACTTTCCTTGTAGTGCTTTTACTAGACAAATATATCGTTAAATCATAAAATTATTATACAAACAAGCAAATTTAATCCCTGTTTACCATTAAATCTGGTATTGACCATAAATCAATTCATACTGATCAAAAGTGATTTTTCTACTGATCAACATATCGAACTGATCATTCACAATAAAATACTGATAATTTAATTTGTTCCTTATATTGATTGCTCTGCTGACTATCATTCCAGTTCCGCTACGTCGACAGTATAGATCTAACGTTGATGTCGATTGGAGCTTGTATAATGATCATACACTGTCTCTGCGTTGTAGCTGGGCAAGTTGTGTTCGGCGAACTAACAGCAGTTTTTGCTGCCCAGCAGTTTCCTGATAATTGTTCTGATCAACAACAAAATTCTACCACTACTGGACCACAGCAGTATCTATGTCATACAGGCATTGAATTGAGTGTATCTGACGATAGCCATTTGCCGAAGTAATAAATTACAGGTCCTTGAAATGTATTTTTCATGCTACTCATTATTCTTTTACATTGAAGATTATGTGTTAATTCAACAATGCTTGTATCACCGTCATTAAGAACGATTCCGTCTATGATGTTATTTGGATCGGAAGTCAGGCGTCTAGTTTACCGGCTGTTTGGTAAATGCAATAATATTTATTTTATGATTTAAATATAAAAAAATATTGGTGAATTTGCTTGTTTCTCTGTATCTATCTAGTTATTGGAACCATTGAAGTCCTGGGTGCTATGATTAAATATATAGTCTGGACTATTTCGGTAAAAAGACAGACATACCGCATGAGAATCATCCTCTTCAAATCAATTATACAGCGAGTAAGTTAAAAACGCTTCTCTCACAAATGTCTGGCTCCAGTATAAAACCTGAGGAAATTCCGGTTATTTTTTAAAATTTTTTATAAA